TAAACATTTGTTCAGAAAGAACGCAAACTCAATATGAATGGCCTGCCTCATTCTTTTGAAAGAGATTAACTTGTATTCAGTTATTCAGTGTCTTTTGTTTGATCTCAAAACAGATTACATAAAAAAGTTACCAGACGGTTCCAAGGACAAGGCAGATGCAGACAGTAAGATTCCCTTGTTTTGAAATCAAGTTGAAATTCTGAATGTTGTCATTTTTTTGTTCCTGCAGCTATTTGTGTATTTGTGCATTTCAGGGAAATTGTTTAGAGCCAGTTTGGCAGTCCTTGTCTTTTTTTGATCATAGAGATTTCCAAGTGTAATTGACTATTTGAGTACCCCCATGATTCCTTGCTGTGTGCTTTATGTTAGTGTCTATCCATTTCTTGATGCACAGAGGCACTGACTATCATTTCTGGAGCAGCACAGCATTCCAACGACATGATGAAGTCGATGGTAAGAACGAGTTCATAATTCCTAATTTAATATCCTTGATTCTGATTGGATCAAAATGCCCTTCCAACTTTTTGATTCAGCGCGTAAGATGGGTATTGTTTTCCATGTGTGGACAAGAGAGGGCTCTTTGTTGCCTAGTAACAGCATCCTTTTGGAATGACACCATTGAGTAAAACTCTTCCAGATGTCTGCAACCACACAGTAGCTGTATAAATGGCATTCCATTGTAAACCAAGTTCCTCATGCTTTCACAGTTGACAGGCTACTTCACTGTAGAGCTAATTAACATTAGAAATGAATGAAAATGTATCATGAAAAGTAAAACACCCACTCCTGCAGGCATTTCTTGAATTCACTCGGACATGTAGTAGTGTCTTCTTCAATTCATCCTTAACATATGTATGACTCACATTCACTTCCTAAAGTTGGTACATCCTCAACCAGTAGGGTAGCAGTCAGCAGCATATGTCTATGACGAGAGACAAGAACTTCCCTTCCAATGGTTTATCATTTGCAGGTCCCAGATCTAGCACTCATTAATGGAGGGGGGGAATGATGTAGGGGACATTGCACTTACTACGCACAACTTTAACTTACACTGAAGTTTTATTTGATGCAAGACATGGAGTTTTTGCAGAGGTGTGGTTCTCAAAGTAAGCAGGGGTTTTTTAACATGACTGTCGGTTGCAAATTGTTACACATCTAGATGATTGAATGTGATCTTTCCCAGCGTAAGCCCCGTGTTCTACTTGGTGGTAAAACTGAAATAGATTACATGTATATTGATTTTTGCTGTGTTAGCATGGATGTTGATCACTCCAAAGGAGTGAGTCCTTAAACTCAGCTAAAATGTTCAGCCTCTTCAATTGTTGTGGCTTAACTACTCTGGCAGTCTTTGTTTGGATGGAATTGTTACGGTTTTAGTGCAGAAAGAAGGTCCTGGACAATTCTCTGAAGGGTGAGATTGGTTGCATAACAAGTGTTATGTTTGCTGTGGTACAAGGGAGTTGGTACAATCCTTCAGTCATAGGCCTGAGACATCACTTTAGCCGTTGTTGTCTATTCCTGGTGGCTGAGGATGACTCATGCTAGCGAATCCAACCGGTGGTTACATGTATATTTAGCAATCCAGCAGAAATCCATATATGGGGCCATGACCGTCATGGGGCCATGACCATGGTGAGGGGGCTGGTATAACAGGTACCAGCTAAGAAGGGAGAACAGCAAAAACAGTTTACGATGTCGCCAAAACACAACTCAACTTTCCTCAAGGGGGAGAGGATGGTAGATTTGATTTCTTGCCAGTTTGCCCTGCACTCTGCCCCAACCCCAAACCCGGTCTTGTCCTGAGGAATTCAGGACCTTTGGTTACAAACCTTTAACCACAACAACTCGGTCTGTGACCACGTGCCTTCGCAGACAGGAAAAGTGGAATTTCCCAGACAAATTATCACCTTCCTGGTTTTTTTGGTCTTGCCTCTGACATTATGGTGGCCCCCCACCAAAAAAGGAAAAAAAAAACGTGCTGGTAGTGATTACAGTCCCAGAGGTTAACTAAATCTAGCCGGGGTATTTCTGTTTGTGGTACAATGCCGCACGGGGAACAACATTTCCCTTTGACTTCTTGACATTGATGTTCCTGACCGTGACTCCAGGAAGTGACAGTTTTTTGGACTTTTTTTTTTTTTTTGTAAACTGAGAGGTTGTTCCATTATTTCTCCCACTTGGGAGAGTGGAACTTTTGGACTGTATTGATTATAAATGAGTTTGATATTTGACAACACTGTGTTGGGTGTTTTGTATTGCATTATGTTAATTTCCTATAAAACTCCTAATTATGCAGCTGTAATTCATTTCTCTTAGCCTTGATGCGAGCATAGGCAAATGCCTGAGCAGATAGTGGGAAAAAAAGTAATCTTTCAAGGCATTACCTCACTAAGAGCCCACTTTCCATTAAATATGAAAACTGTCTTGAACATAAATTTGTGCACATTAACCAACAAACAAAAACAGTTTCAATGAAAAGAGGAAACATTTCAATCCCACAATGAAAACAGGTTTTTGCCAGTATTCGAAGCAGAATAACCAGGCGAGCAACTTTTCATCGGATCAGCTGATTTCCTTGTTTCTCACTTCACACTCATGCGCTCTCTACAAAGTCTTGTAAAGATTGGAATTTCCTTGTTTTTTTCGTCAAAGTCCAAGTTGCATGCCTGAATAACTGATAATATGGGTTTTTCAAGTGCAATTATGTTTAGAGCTAACTAAATAGCTAATAGCAGCGAATAGACTCTTCTGCCTTGTTGTATGTGTACTTTTCCTGTGAGCAAATTAATTTTGAAATGTACTTAGCTCAGATTTGATTGAACCTGTGAAATATTGGTGTGTGTCACTGAATTGGATGACCAACATAAAGAGGCTGTAGACCACTGAGTTCAGATCTCATTTTGTGGATCCTTTCAGTTGCCATGGATACAGGAAAGAATAAATCCCATAATCCTATGAAGGCCTTTACTTCTTATTTGCTACGCATCTCAGGATCAGTTTGAGAAGCTTTTGAAGATCAATCAGAAGATTGATGGGGAGAACATCATTGACCCAACTAGGCATCTCCTCAAGGAAGGCAAGATAACCAAGATTGCTGCTAAGAATAAGGAGCCACAGGACCGCTACATCTTCTTGGTGAGCAGGTGGAAGACCAAAACTGGAGATGCATACTGAGGAGAAAATTTGTAGTAAAATCCCCACGCTCCAATTGGAATTCAAGTTGAAATAGATGGCTCTTAACTTTTCCTCTCTCAGCTGGTTTTGGGGCAGCTCTATAAATTTGGTTTAGGGTTGAGATTTTATGGCTTGGTTTTTATCACAATGGGTATAATGATTAAAGGGTATTACAGTGTGATTCTGGATTGGCTAGATCACTGATTTGTAAGATAGACTCTTACCTCTTTGGGTGTATGAAGAATTATACTTGCACATACTCCATGTTGTTGCAGTAGTAGGCTATAATATTGACTTGGAGGATTCAAGATTGTTCTAGCTAATCAGAGTGCCCTCGCTTGGTTCTAAAGGCCGATTCCTTCTTCAAACAAACAACAGTGTGAAGGGAATTCAATATCACAAAATGTCTGCAGCAAAATTTAATTGAGTAGGAATGTGTTCAACTTTTTAAAATCTGCAGTGTATTAGACCTGACATCACAGTTCTGCATACCTGTCACTTTTACATATTAACCTACTGTAAGACACAGAGAGGGCTCCCTCAACTGTTATTACTCACAGCCAATACACCTGATTCAATCATTTCTTGAATTTCTACTCACAGTTCAATGACATCCTCCTGTGCTGTGAGAAGAAACGTCTTCTGACCTCAGCCAACTACAAGGTCAAGTTGAAGATGGAAGTGGACGGCATGAAGGTGAGTGTGAGTACTCTTTCCTGCATTTCTTTTGAAAAGCAGTTTTGTTTTGGCAAAAATTGTGCCAAAAAAGAAGTTTTACTGAATTTGAGATATGTTCATTTCCTAACAATCTTGGTTACAATTTGGTTTTTAATCAAGGATAAAAGGCTGCAAAATAGTGCTTTAGACAAAATGACAGTTGCTTTTGTTTTGGTTTGGTTGAGAGAATGTTTCTTTTCATACTTTTCTCCAAAGTGCACAAATTAAAAGAGTGTTTTATTTTCAAAAATGTAAAATGTGAAAATTGTGTTTATGAAGAAAAACAGTGCTGTCTGTATTTACCACATTGATGGTAATCATTCATTATTTTTTATCAATATTTTCAACATTTTTGGTAACTGCATATTTTGTCTCAAATGAAAGCTTCTTCCTTTGGTTCAGTTTTTGTTTGACACTGCATGAAATTTTTCAGCCAAGCAAATAAAAGAATTCAAAATGCCATCTTATCAATATCTATCTGTATAGAAGCACAGGATTTGTCAACAGGGTTATCAAATATATTCCCAGGTTGCTGTGTCATAATGCTCTGTACTTTTCTTTAAAAAAAAATATATCAAACATAATGTGTAAAAATTCTGTTGTTTGTTTGGCTACGAAACTGTTGAATAGAGTGTAACATGTGATGATCAACTTTGGAGGAGCATAAGTTGGGGGCATGTCAGAACTGTAGTTGGCGATATATGTTTACATCTAACTGAGTACTTAAGCATGCAAAGATTCTGCATTTAGCTGATTTTTAAAAATGTTTTCGGGGAGAAAGACACTGGTTGAATAATTTTCAGTTGGTTAATTTTTGCATGGAATATCATTTGAAGTAATGGATTTCCCCATGTTTTTGTTTGCCGTCAGTAAAGGAATGGTACTGCGGAGGATTGGCAGAAATGGATTGGTATCTGCTGGAGTCTGTTAGACTTCCTAATTGGAAAAGGAAAATATTGAAACAAAAACAGTTTATTTGAGTGCATGGAAAAAAATACATGAAACTGAGCATGGAAGGAAGTATCTCTGCCATGGAAACAAAAGAAAGTGACTGTAAAATTATTTTTCCTGAATGCTTTTAGTTGAAATTTGAAAATTCTTTGGAGGCATAACAAAAATAGCAATCAATGCTGCCAGTGCACAGAACAGCAGATACTAGTCAGTGTTGGTGGCGCTGTGTGCTGTTGCCATGGTAATAAGGAAGGTCCAGCCATGTCCGTCCAGCAGCTGTAATGTACACTATGCTTAAAGTTTAAGGTTAATTTTACCAAGAGATGAGCACAAAATGAGGCTTGAATTGCTGCCTATGCTATTCAACTTTCTTCTGTCATCATGAGTAAGCTTGCCTCAGAAGTTGCTGATTTGCATATGAAAAGCCTGAAACATTAACTGTCATTGCAACATTATTTGGTTGGGATTTTGATATGCCTACTGCAACTTTAAGTTCCAATCCATTCTGTTAGATGTTTCAAATTGCTTTACCACCCCATGCCACAAGGCCCGATACTGTAGGAACCAATTTCTACTTGGCAGGGTTGTGACAAGTACAGTCATCATGAATGTTTATGATAATGTCATCATAAGCTTTTACAGTCACATTGATGTGAAGTGTGAATTTAGGTCGCCAGTTCTCGACAAGTTTTGGACATAATTGTGGGTAATAATAAAGTGATTCTGGTTTAATATGGTCAGTGTAATCAGGTAGTGAGTGGGAGGCTAAAGTGAGTGGAAGGCTAAAGAGTGATACAATATTCAAACATCATGTCTTCTTTTTGAATTTCACAACAGTTCATACTTTGAGATGTATTTTTGCGTTGGGGAGATGTTGGGGAGGCAAACCCGTTATATATAAGTTCATACTTTGCATGAGCATGAAATTCTGAGGTGAGATTAAATATTCATGCTGTGAATTTGCAACAGATGAACACATTTCATCTCTAGGGAATTTCACTGTAACAATTTGGCAATGACAGAAGTCACTTTATATTTGCATGTGCCTGAAATATAAACCAACCTCAAGAAAGCTTGAAACAAAAAGCTGGTACTCTTGACACAGTTCATCAACTCTATATTAAACTCACAGATTCCTAAAACCTAACTACCTTCTTTTGCTTTATTCCATTATCTTCTCCATACCTTCCTCATGATGTGTCTGCTGTCACCTGCCACCTGTCCTTCTGTGGATTCTTCCTTCATCTGTAACCTTGAGCAGGTGTTGGACAGTAATAGTTGTCGATTCATCATCGAGAGTAAGACCAAGAGTATTGAGTTCCAAACCAACTCAGAGGAAGAGAGAGAAGATTGGATGAGGGTAGGCAGAAATGTTCACTTTCTGAATCTTCCATCCTACATTAAAGATATATCCTAGAGTAAGCAATGTTCCTTCCATTTATGTTGGGTTGTAACCAAGGTGCTGAATGTAGTGCGTAAGAGCAAACATGAATGTATAAAGCATTGGCTGTCTCGTCGCCCAAGTTGAAATATTTGAAGGGGGGCAGATTTGTAGTGTGAATTTTTTTTGTAGTGTCATTGCTTCACACATTCCTCATCATAGTCAGTTTTGTGTCCATGATTGTGACTCAAATCTTTAATGATTTAATGATCTTTAATAAAAAGGGACTTAAAAACCTTTCAGAACTTCATTATTTAAGTTCACACTGAGTTTTGGGGAGTAATTGATGACAAGAGTGGATTCGTGATAAGATCATCTCAGTTCACATGGTGTTGGAACCGACAAATTGGAAATTGTTTCCAGGAAATAAACCAATTTGCACAACTTCCTGTCAAGAAAGAAGGCCAACTTGTCTCTTCTCCTTGTGTGGAGTTGACAGACATACACTTGGCAAACAAGAATTCAACCTTCCAATTGTTGTGAAATTTCTAATCGTTGCTGTCTGAGAGTGTGCAAAGAAAATGTTTACAGGCTTTCTTTGGTAGGAGTCAAACCCAAAGCGTGGTAATTAGTGGAGCTAACTGAACGACTCAAATGGAGTATTCAACTGTGGACAGATGCATGCCTTTAGGGACATCCTGAAGCTGTCAGTTCAGATAGCTGGAAATGTTGGAAAGGCAAATTTATTAAAATGCCCTCTTTGCAATGATATCTATCTCATAGGTGCTGCTGTCCGCTATTCAAGAGATGTATTGGAAAAAGGAAACTTTCAGGACAAATGATGCAGTGGGAGACAGGCAAAATGGAGATGAGTATGGTGTCAAGGTACGTGCACATCAGGGCTATGATTTCTCAGAATTTTTCCAGATTTCTGGACTTTTGACCCAAAGCATTCTAAATTTGTAGAGGTTTAACTCCTTCACGCCCGGATGCAGCTAGAGCCGCTGTAAAAATTGAGGTCCTCAGCCCACTTTTCAGCTATTATTCTTGGCCCACGCTCGAGCAAACACCGTAAAAAAAGGCAGACCCTGGCTCTTGTATATATGGTGATTGGCCTTTGTGTGTAGCCCAGAAATGAAAAGACCAATTTTGCATCATACTAACTAGCTTCACAATAGTCCCCACTTTGAAAAGAGGCAACGGGAATGTAGAAGCGTGAGTAGAGCCGGATGCCACCGAACAATCAGCCTTTTCACCGTGTAATTCAAAGCATGCAGAGCACGCAGGGCCACAAACCAAGAATTTGCGGTTTGGCAGGTGGTCTTCATGGCCAAGCGAGGCTGGAATTCTTGGAGTCGGCTTTCAGAAAGAAATTCCCATCATCAAGGGGTTAATCATTGAAGTTTTGCTTTTTTGTTGCACTTTGTACACAAATAACAGTCAGGACTTACAAAGTCCTAGCCAGTTTTTCATTGTTTTTTCCTCTCTGCTGGATGTTCTTTACATATTTCGTCTCCAATCTTGCCCAAGCACATGATTTTAAATTTCTTGCCACAAACGTGCTTAGAATCACAGTCTTCTCACTACATCACCAAAAAAAAATGCAGTCAACAAACAATACAGTTCGGTGATTCCTGATACTTTTCTGTCCTCTGAAGGCCAAATTTGTACCCGGAGAGTCTTGCCCTAGATGGATCAAGGATGATGAGACAAGCATGTGTATGAGATGTGGCACAGACTTCAAGTTAACCAAACGGAGACACCATTGCAGAGCATGTGGTGCGGTGAGTATACCTAGCACAGCTCTCTTACACCATTAATCCCATACAGTACTTAATAACATGTCATAATCAGTTGAAACTGCAGTGAAGGCACCTGTGTGTCCAACCATTCCCCTAAAGAATAAAAAGCCCTACAGAATCAGAAGAAAGGCTTGTTTTGTGCTCATTGCAGGTCGTTTGTCACAAATGTTCCAACTTTGAGGCACCCTTAGAGTACGATGACAACAAAATGAACAAAGTTTGCATCAAGTGTTACTACGTAATAAAAGGAGATGAGGAAGAGATAAAGAAACTTGCTCGAAGGGTAAGTCGATAGCATCATTAAGGTTGAGTTTGATCAACGTCAGCTGAACAATGGATGGTTTGGACGATCTGGTCAACCATTGGGAGCCAGGAGGGAACCATTCACATGAAAATATTTGTACAGGATGTCATTGACCACAAATGCCTTGAGAGTTGCAGCTAACTGCAAAATGTGAGCGATGAGATTTGACAGAACAGTTTGTGTAGGACATTCAGGTGCAGCCGTATTGTTTCCAAGCAATTTATTTAGTGATCAAACAGAGATCTTCGCTGCACCTTGCCCTCAATTTAAATCATACCCCTATTATTTTGATTAATACTTTTTTCTGAGTGATTTGGGGGACATTGTTTCCCAGATTTCCACTTTTTTGCTATAAGGCAAAGCAGCAGTTTTTACAGCACCACCTGTATATTAGATTAGAACTGGCCAGGGAATGACCCTAACGAGCTGCTCAAGCAGTAAGACAGGTGGTCGTAGGTTCTAATTCCACATGGATATGTTTCTGTAGTTGTGTCTTTCTGGCATTTCAGCACCAAATATCTAAAAATGTGGAAGGGTTAACCCGATATTATTACCAATGTTTCTGCACCAGGATCAGGGAACATGACTCAACTGGTTCACACCTGACGACAGTGTATTTCTGGGTACTACATAGGTGTCAAATGAAAGTTATTGTGCCCACAACTCTCTCCCAAATTTCCTAACAAATGAAATGGTCCCCTCAACGCTGGGTCAGCGATGGAACAGCTTGTGGAAGGGAGCCTTGAACACAATAGTCAGATATTAGGAAGAAGCTTCCACTATACATGTAGAGTTGGATAGATCAGTTGATAGAATGCTGGCATAGCATTCTGAATGTTTCATCTTCAAATCCTGTTCCACTCAAAAGTCGGTTATGTTACTCAAAACAAGCATATTTCTGACATCAGCAAGGTTTAGGTTCATCGCTGCTCATGTATAAAGTATTCTAACTGATATCTTTGTTTTCTCTTTCAATTTGTAGTCGTTGATCCCAGAAATAGATGAAGACAACTCATTTAGTAGCTTTCTGTATCTTCATTACAAGGGGGCTTGGACAAAGTTCTGGGTGGTTGTGACAGAGCAGGATATGTTTGTTCTAAAAGCACCAAAGGTTGGTTCCATGTTCCATGTTACAAGGACTGTATATTAGAATACTTGGCAGGTATGCAGGATTGATCAAAAGTTATTTTCAGCAGTCCTGTGCAAGGTTTTTGATTTGTTACTGTGTGTATTTTCAAAGGCTGGCCATTTTTTTTTGAGAATCTGGTCTTGGTTGGCCAAGTCAGTTTCTTTGTTGCATTTACTGGGGAATGGTGTCTACTTTTCTTGGCCCATCATCATCAGCAGTCTTCACAGTTTTAATCACTCTACTAACAAAACCTGTGACATATTTATAGAAAGCTCAAAAAGGAGAGACCCCCCCAAAATCTAGATGTCACTGGTTCACGTGCTATTCCAGTCTATCCTCACTTAAAATTAGTAATCTAAGTCAAGTTTGCATTGTCTTTACAAGTCCATCACAAGAGTTTCAATCTCAAGTCAAATCACATGCTATTCAAATCAACTGTAGTGAAGCCCTTTTGTTTATTATCCTGTATACTACCAGACTTCTGATTGACCTTTAGCAGACTCAACTAAAACTCTTGTCAGTAATCTATTTTCTCTTTTTTCCCCTGTTCAGGACGTGCGACCTGTTTTTACCCTGCCCATTAAGCTCTACAACATCCGTAACATCAACGACACTGATGCTGAAAGAGACCACGTATTCAAACTCAGTGACAGCAGAACAGTACATACGCTGTCTGCAGAATCCAAGGAACTCAAAAGAAGGTGTGTTCTTATGATTTGTTTGGGCTAATTTTTGAAGGAGTACTGTGGTTTTGCTTGGATCAGATCAAAATTAAGTGCTAAGGAATACTATCTTGTTTTGTTTTTATGGTGTGCTTAATAGTAAGCACTCATTTCAAAGGGAACAAAACTATGTTTATTTTTCAAATTCAGGAGATGAAAAGGTATTCTCAGATGTTTCTTGCAAATTAGAAACTAAAACATTGACGGCTTTAGAAAATCTTTACTTCTTGTTGATGCTAGCCAAATGTTCAGTAATAAAATCACTGATTATTTTTCTTGTAAGTTTTGTGAACTAAAAATGAAAATAAACATCAAGTTTTTTAATAGGAGGACTGTGAATTCAAGGACAATTCAAAGAAACAAGCATTTATTACGGGCCCCTTTTTCTTGGATCAGCTGATTTCCTTATTATTTGCTTCACACTCATGCCATTAAAAATTGAAAAACACTTTACAAAGTCTTGTAAAGATTGGAATTTCCTCGTTTTATGTCAAAATCCAAATTGCATGCCATTATTAACAGGTTTAACCACTCCCCGTCAG